CGAAAGGATGTGCTGACTGGGCTTGTCTAGTTCGTCTGACTGGTATTGCTAGTGAAGGGATGATAGCAGAGATTTCCGAAGCACATTTCCCGTGGAAGTATCGATAGATTGTTGGATGAAGTAATGTGATATTTTATTAATTTAGATTCTTGTGATTACTTATACAAATTTCATTGAGGCTCTGTTCAAATGCCCCCCTTCTGCTGCTTTTAAACACATTATGTCTAATTTTCGAAAACGTTGCTCTGTGAAAAGTATCTGAGATGTCTCTTATCGATGCAACTGTAGTCATTATTATTATGAATAAGCTCATCTCTGGTTGTAGTCTATATCTGAATACAGTATTTTTTTCATGAGTACCCAGAGATGAGAGTGGTCAGGTGACCTCGGTGGTCAAAGAACTCGACCACCTCTTGACATTTACTGGTGAGAAAAGTTGTTATTCAATTGCTCATAACTTCTTTACTACTGAGTTTGAGGCAGAAGTGTATAAGGCACATTGGACTTGAAATTGTCTAAGGAATATGCCCTCAAGCTATGGTCAACAAGTCACGGGACACCCTGTTTGATGATAATAATTACAATAATAATATAATAGTATAGGTTGAATAATAAAACCCAACTTTATTGACAACAACATACAATAAATAGAGAGTGAGTTAACAGAAGGAAAAACCGACCTGAAAAATTGACAAAAATGCATTCTATGTATTCTGAGAATTGAAGTAGAACTTCTCTGCACACAATTGCATGCGCAAAGTCACACTTTTCAGCACGCCGTGTGGATAGAACTTTTTTCTACGAGCGTTGATTTTTTGTTTTGAAAGTTGTACTTCTCCGTACGATTTAACTTTTCAGCATGATTCCGAAAAAAATACCAGGAGACATGTGGTGATAACTGTTGGCACCAGAACGTACCCATAGGATCAGTCGCTATGAACTAATAGTTGTGGCAGTCAACAAATAAGCATTTGGTTCGTCATTTTTCCGTGTTCGTGATTCCAATTAAAAATGGACAACTCAGGAAACTTGCAAGATCGCCCCCTGGAAATAATTGATGCAAACACTAACCAACCAAATTCAAATAAGAGACGACATTCTTAAAGATGTTGCGGCATCTGCTATATTATAGCATGCAACAAACACAAATTGCACTTTCAATTTCAATATTTACCATCGTTAATGTTTCAGTTATTGTTATCAAGATATTCTCCAGATAAGTTTCCTATCATCATATCGATAAAAAAAAATCCATTTCATTATTTTTCAGTGCATGAAAATATCGTGCGGAAAAGTTACTTCACTTTACGATTTTTGTATTTTTGAAAATAAGGATAATTAGGACTAACTGAATGATCCATGTAACTATTCTGTCTTATGTGTCATTTTGTAGAATCATTATTAGATATTGTTCATTGGAAACCTTTTTTTTTCATAAAAAAATTTTGTACCTAACTCTTGCGGAAAATGTATTTTCCGCACTGGGTAGGTTTATGACTTTTATTCGCACTGAATGCGCAAAAATCTCCCGATATTCTCATGTATTTCAGCTCGAAACATACACAAAAATAGGTACATTGTATAATGATGAATGATATTGTCAAACAACAATAAGTGCACTTGTCAACTTTGACATGAATGCAGATTTTTCCTCGGATTCTGTCAGCAAGAATCTACAAACACCGAAATCCAATCAAAAATGATTCAGAAGCTATCGAAATGAGCAGTTCTGACGACGACCTATCAGATTCCATATTATAGGCAGTTTTCTCTGCAAATTTGATCAAAGAGGAGGTGTTCCCAGCCAATTTTGCAGATTTACAAAAAACATATGATCCAGATACTTTATGGAGTAAGTACAGAGTGATTCACCATAAATGTCCTCCCCTTTAGCTCACTTATTATTCAACCGATTCGAAAGAAAAAAAAACTGAAATTATTTTCCAGAATTTTTTTTTTGCTTTGCATCAGAAAATACAGGGTGCTCGAAACAAACGATCTAGGGACTACTACTTGATTTTTTCGAATCGAAGACCCTGTATTTCATTGTATTTTTAGAATCTTCCTGAAGAGCTGATTTCATTGATACATCACACTTGGGGTCTAGCGGGAATGATTACAGAGATATAGGGTGTTCAAAATCGAGTTTTTTCAACTTAAGAATTTTTTTTGTGTCAAAACTATTCATTATTGGTTAAAACGGCTTCTATGTCCCTATCTCAACTTTTGATTTACTATCTACTGACATTTAATTGAAACATTTACAGGGTGGTTCAAGAGTCAGAATTCTGATCACCCTGTATCTGTTCCAATTATTAAATGTCAGTAGATAGTAAATCGAAAGTTGAGATACGGACATGAAAGCCGTTTTGACCGATAATGATTAGTTTCGTTACAAAAAAATCTAAAGTTGAAAATTCTCGATTTTGAACACCCTATCTCTGTAATCATTTCCACTAGACCCCAAGTGTGATACATTGATCGAATCAGCTCTCCAGGGAGAATCTAAAAATACAATGAAAAATAGGGTGTTCCATTCAAAAAAATCAAATAGTACCCTGTAGATCGTTTGTTCCGAGCACCCTGTATTTTCTGATGTAGCAGAAAAAAACTTTAGCGAAAATCATTTGAGATAATATTTTAAATTTTGAAATCAGTTGAAAAATAACTGAGCTATAGGGGGGGACATTTATGGTGAATCACCCTGTACCTGCCAACTCGATGTTGAAGAGTATTCTTGAAGTAAAAATATGACTTGAATCTGAGTCAATATTACAAACTAACAACGTTGTCAAAGGAGCAACATGTGTGATATCGACCGAAACAGGTCAAACTCTTTACAAAAGTGAAGCTTGCAGGTTTATGGAAGATGCAATTGATCAAAACCTTCTAAAAAACGTCACAATTTTTGAGTTGGATATTCCTTTTTTGATTTTCGCTGTTATATGATATGAAGCTCGTAGAAAAAATGTTGATCCTAACACGTGCGCAAAGTGGCTTTTCCGCACGCAAAAACGTTATTACTTGCGGAAAATTTACACTTCGCGCACATGTTAGTCATTTTTCTACAAACGTCAAAAAAATTACAAATTTCGCGCATTGATTACAACTCGCGAAGTGACAGTTATTTTAAGTTTCCTACGTGACCATGATACCTTGCACAAAACAATGCGCGAAGTAAAACAGTGCGCGAAGTACCTACTTCGCGCATTATTGTTATGTAAAATATATGAGATATTTATATTTCAACTTTATGGTCCTCAATCGAGCAAACATCCACGAAATCACTCATTTCTGAATGTACAACAATAACTTTGTTTTATCTCTTGGAGCGCACGAAAGGAAATTCCTATTATGTTCGTGGAGCATCGTGCGAACCTAGGGAGGATAGGGGGACGCCTTTTAAGCCGGTACAACACTATTTTTTTATATCAAGCTGAGCATATTTTCACTTGAGAATTATATTTTTTGAAGTTTGTAGACAAATTTTTGTTTACAACTCGAGCGCGACATTCTTTGGTCATCTCGACTATTTTTTTAATCAGATCTCGATCACCAAAGTAGCATTTCGCGTTCTTGATACAAAAATGAGGTCTTCAGTCTGACAACTCATGAAAAATTAACTATAAGGCAACAATATGATATTTTGCGAAGTTACTTCACTACCACAAAGTAAAAAACATCGAACCATCGTGTAGGAAAGAATCTTCTGATGTCGAAATATTGTATAACTGGTACTTTTTTCATTTATGGAGACATGAAGATATTCAACCGCGATATTATCAGTTCATAACATCCATTGTATAGCAGAGTTCTAACAAACTGTATTGAAGACGACTGCCCAGTGCGGGTGCATTCGTCTGACAAAGTGAAGGCCGTAGGTTCAAGTCCCTGAATGAGCAGAGATTTTTCATTTATGAAGAATCATAAATTCTGATATTCAAAATCTCGGTAGAACGATTCATTCATTGTTGCGTTCAAAATTGACGTTGCTGTTCTTGAAAACGCGTATGGAGTTCTGTAATAAATCCTACACTGGAAACACACGGTTCGAGGTCGTGAGACCTATTGGTAGTTGGTGTGGACACACACATGCACCAACGAAGTAGATGTATCTATCTATATCTACCGGCTATTATTTAAAAGTGGCTCACCGCTATAACCTATCTCGTTTCTACAGATAAACAGTCGAAATTTGATGTCTATGTATGGTAAATGTTTATGCATTATTTGACGTATTCATTCTTTTTTACTCACTTCCGGTTTGACCGAAAACTACCCTTGATTTCATATTCTCAATGAGACACCTGGCATATTTTTACTCATTTCGATGAAGAATAACATTGTATTTGCCACTTTTTGACATTTCAATGAATGACATGTAAATTTTTTTAATTTCGACTGCAATTCATCATTTAACCATTCGTAATAAAGAATTGACAATGAAAAAAAATGTTTCTCTCATGAACCGCATTTCATTTGTTAATCTGTAGAAACGAAAAAGCTATAGCGGTGAGCCACTCCTGAAAAACACCCGATATATATCTGGTTGGGCTGTGTTAGTCTTTAGCAGACTAAGGTTCCGCTCCAGGACGCTTTCAACAGCCTTGTTTATGCCGCATTATCTAACATATCATATTGTCACAATTTGAATATAACATTCAAATCCGAATCAATAGTGGTATAATATCAATAGCATTATTTATTCATCATACCGATTAGGTCGATTATTTACCTTCGAATAACTATTCTGATATCGGACTGCCGAAATTGAAACACCTCTTACTTACGAAATAAGATCTCTTATATGTGTTCACGCATATTACTTTGACCAAATTTTTTATTTGTCTTCTGATAAAGCAATAGTAAACAGTTAATATTGTCAGAACACAACAAGGTGTTCCATTGCTTCAACCATTCTTCAACTGATTTTGGTCTTAAATTTTCATCTGACGTAGCAAAGATAATTCGAGCTTCAAGATATCGACAGTAGGTATATCGATACTCCCAGTTTATGCTTGAGACAGATCGCATTCAGTATTGCTAGCTTGAAGTTGTAGTAGCGGACAAGTTTCTGGTGTTCCAACAACTGAAGATCGCGCGCTCGCCAAAACAAAAGGGTGAGTTGAATTTGAAATATTGATATCGTAACTTTTCATACTCTCTCAAGTATGGCTCAACAATTTCGTCTCAACAAATAATGAGCGTGATTCTCAATACAATCAACTTTTTTTTTTATTTCTTTAAGTACATTATCATCCTATTGTGAATTCTATCGGTTCATCATACCTCAACTAGTGTTTTTTGAACTCAACCCTATAGCCTGTGACCTCTTTTTCGAAAGCTGGTGGTGAGAAGAATCCAGCGTACTGATCAAAATCTAATTTTCGGTACATTTGAGGGTTGCATAAAATCAAAGTTTGATATGAGAATTTGATTTAGTTTCAACGTAACAAATGCTCAAAATATGTGTTGTCCACACAGCGATCATTCGCCACAACTGATATCCGCTATTTTATGCTGGTGAAAATGCATTATTAAACTATATGGCTAAAAATCGAGATTTTGATGATAATATAACCAATTATTAAACTTTGAAATTATGTCTTGATTTTATACAACTCTCAAACGTACTACAAACTGAAATTTGATCAGTTCACTAGATTCCTCATTCAATCAACACTTAGATGAGGGTTGCATTAAAAAACAGTGAGGTGGATTTCACCTACCCCTGAAGGCTTATATTATCATTCATATTGCTCGCTAAATGTGGGTAAACACAATGAAACTTCGATTTGTCTCGCGAATTTTCAGAAAGCTAGCGAACTTATTTCAGTTGAAGTCTCCACACCGTATATTTTCGTAAATGTGTATTCTTTGTAAGAAAATGTAGGTTTATGTATTCATGATCTCTGTTTCATGACTCTCATTAAATTATATCATATCTTAGACTATCACCCTTTATTCCTACGTGTGATTTCAAAGATAGATTCATTGACGTCTTAATGCTTCTTACCAACTATCAATATGTATGATCTGAAACATTACAACACTGATTTTTGTTTCGTAATGAGGCACTAGTGCAGTGAAATGATTGAAAATTATTCAAAATTTCCGTTTTTCCCAATAATGAGTCATTTTTGGAAAAATCATTTAAGGAACTAACAAACTCAAATTCATAAAAGAACTAGAACCAAGAACAAGGTACAGCCTAACTTATAGGCACGTTATTCTCATTCTTGCATACAACAAATTTTCAATTTGTGGTATAATTAATTAATTAATTGAATTAAAACAGATACAGGGTGGTCAGGATTCTGAATCAAAAGTTAAAATAGGGATATGTAACCGATTTTGACCAATAATGAATATATTCAGCAGAAAAAAAAACAAAATTTGAAAAATATTGATTTTGAACACCCTATATCTTTGTAATCATATCCGCGAGACCCCAAGTATAATGAATTGATGGAAACAGCTGTTCAGGGGAAATCTAAAAATGCAATGATATACAGGGTTTTTCTTTGGAAAAATAGCAACTTTGATACATTTAGTGTTTTTGGCACACCCTGAACAACGAGAAAATACTTTCAACATGTAGCGCTGATTGGTCCCTAATATCTCGAAAAAGAGAAAAAACTGTAGAAAAAACAAATTCTCTAGCCACAATGCTTCGTGTCGAATAGCCCTGTGTGATAAGAAATAGTTTATGTCGTCAATGGCGTATAGAAGAGGTACCATGACGTCACTTTTACATCTCTTCCGTAGGGATGAAAAGTACGACTTTGCTTCCTACAATGAGGGTAGGAAATGTATACCTTGGATAAAGGTGGGCAGAAAAATATCGTACTATATTCGTATCGTAAATTTATATTATGATAATCGATGGGATACTTATGTCGTGAATATATATTATGTACGACAACTGTAGGAAATAGGTAATAACACACGATAAACAGCCCCATTAAGTAGCTCATTGCGCACGGAAAGCAGAACGCCCAGTTTGAATATGCTATTTCACATAATATGAAGTTATACAACTCTAACGAATGGGGAAACGACAATGTCATAATAATAATTCCATATCTATCTACGATGAAAATTGGGTTCCATTGATAACTTCGAGCAGAATTCATATTAATTGACATACGTCGTGTGCGACTGAGAAAATACGGTCTCTTATTCGCATTCTCGGTTGTAGGCTCTGCAGAACTTTTGCAGGATGACTCAAAAACCCTTCCATATTATAGATCGTTCTTGATATTGTAATAAATCATAAAACTTCATTTCCATGGTCGATAAATGTGATTAGATGTTCGAACGTCGTTCGTAGTCGACTTTTATACATAACAAATAACGACATTTTCTAAAATAAAGGTGTTTAACAAAATGAATATTTTTTGACGACTGACAAAAACTGATATCTGATATTTGCATTTTGCATATTTACATATTTGCATATTTTGACGAAATCTTGTTTTGAATTAATTTTTTTCTGGAATTGTTGACACTTATTTCAGACATTGATATACTTATATATATACTGGATGATTTACGTAGGTCACACCTTAGAAGTTTTCTAACTTGCAATTGGGTTAGAGACTTGAGAGTGATTGGAATGCTCCTATTATGAATCATTTCCGATCTACTTGAAATATTTATAGTATTCCAGCTGAACAAAGTGTGTCTAAAGTTGCCATCAACTTTCTTATTTCAAATAGGAACCTTCATTTTTTCACACTGGTCAATGGGCCTCCTAATTCTGATTTCAGAGAAACCAATTTATATTGATTTATCTATGAGAGTTTGGGAAATATCTCAATTCATCAAAAAATAATCACCATCGTAGTAGTTCACGAGAATATACAGAGTGACCCATTTGAAAGCGGGCCACCCCTGTATCTCAAGTAATCGTTGGGTAAGGATCATGAAATTTGCTGGAGCGAGAGATATACCAAAAATGCACTCTATAACCAAGTGGGGTCATCTTCAGTGATATACACTGCTCGCCAACAGCCATGGAACCACCCCAATTTCCTGAAAATGATATTAGGAGTCAAAATAGGTCGGATTCGGAATCAGGACGCCCAATTCACTAACTATTCATATTTTTCCTTGGAAATTTTCAGTTCTGAAACATTACATTTTGTCACACTTTTCATGGAAGCGCACCCCCGTATCTCACGTAATCATTGTGGTAGGGTTCTAAAGTTTGCAGGAGGAATGGAAAGTCCAAAGATGAAGTCAATTACGTGAGATACGGGGGTGCTTCCGTGAAAAGTGCGACAAAATTTAATTTTTCAGAACTGAAAATTTTCGAGAAAAAAAAATTAAGAGTTAGTGAATTGGGCGTCCTGATTCCGAATCCGAAGTGATTTTCAACCTATTTTGACTCCTAATATCATTTTCCGGAAATTGGGGTGGTTCCATGGCTGTTGGCGAGCAGTGTATATCACTGAAGATGACCCCACTTGGTCATAGAGTGCATTTTTGGTATACCTCTCGCTCCAGCAAATTTCATGATCCTTACCCAACGATTACGTGAGATACAGGGGTGGACCGCTTTCGAATGGGTCACTCTGTATATATCTCGCAAATAGTTCAAAACTAGAGAACTAAATTTGTAAAAGTTAGCTGGAAGTCCTGGCTGACACCTGATGTCCCATAGATGGTCCCATTCTGTACCATATATGAGCGCGGATTATTTTCAATTGTCGCATTGAAAAATTGACAAAAACTCAACTTTTTCAAATGGCATCTACTATTTTTTTTTTTGAATACCTACCATATCTTGCCAACTATGCAAAATATAAGGTGATCTATGAAAAGAATTTCTTGCTTCGGGTTTTTGACGTCCTGTTTACTCTAAACTGTGATTAAAATTGATCCTGATGATATTTTTTCAAAATCTCCATCAGTACAGCAGCAAAGGTTCGAACATTGATTATTTATGTGAATTTATATTCGACAATACATAACAAACGGATCTGAAATTCCGTATATTAGTATAAATTATGTATTTTGAGATTGGTTGCCATAGGCATCAGCTATGTGCTAACGTTACCGAACTTAGATGCTTGAGTATTTGGCAATAACATGTTAGACTACTGGATTAAATGACCATTGAATATAAAATGAATGATTGGATGATGAAATTACTATATATTTATCAAACAGAACTTATCTTCACAACTCGATATGCTTTTAAAATAAGAATGGATAAAATCACAGGAAATAATCCACCGTGTGAATGCAATATAACCCAAATCGAACTAACAACAAATATATTTCTGGCAGACAATACGTTTTAAAAATTGATATATAACTAGGATGTAACATTTTTACGACCTGTTATTGAGCAACCACATGAAATTGGGAAAAAATCTACCGATTTTGCAGGAGTCGCATCATATTGGGTGGATAATTTCAAGTCCTCCGAATTTCAAATCCTCTTTCAATCTGCAACTTCATCAAAGCAGATATTGAAACAAAAATGAAATCTTTTTGAAATAGAAGAAATTTCATAAGAAATACAAATCGTTTTTTTTAAAAAGGAGATGAATGTGAGGAACATTTCATTGAAAACTTCTACATAGACAATTGAAGTAGATTTGCAGTTGAATTACCTTTCATGAGAGATCATGAAATACTTTGTGAAAGTAAAAATATATCTTTGAAAAGGTAAGAGACGAAATAGAATAAATTGGAACAAAACGAATATTTTAGATCAGAATATTCAAGACATATACATGAATATTTGATTATGAGTCATATGACACTTGTAAACTCATACTTGTATACTAAGTAGTTTTTTTCTAGCACATCATTGCGTTATAAAGTGTGATTCACTAACTACTAAAGTTCGAGAAGTATTTGATGGGTCATGTAGATCTACAACAGATGTATCTCCGAACGACGTACTTATGGTAGGTCCGGTCATACATATATTTTCAGTACATTACTGAAAATTTACGGAATATCAAATTGCTTTGACAGCTGTTGCTGAATGTATAGGTACAATAATGTGCACCCTGATGACCGTTTGTTTCGTAGCATCCTATGGAGTGATGATGCATCACAAGATATAAACACATAATATATACATTAAATACGATTACTT